GACCGGTTGTGTCAGCACTGGTTTCTACACGCGGATCCGTTGCTCGAATGGTTGAGCACAAAATGCCCCATCGCAATGCAAAAGCTGCATAAGGCAGCCAGACTGCTAATTATGGACAGCATGCCACCCGCGGTCCATCTCAGGCGTGCCTATGTTTGCGGACACTCAGCGACGAGCCGACAGCGCGGAGCGGCGCCACCACTGACCTGCAGCAGACAAGAGTAGAAGGTGCGGTACAGGATCTTGACGGCCGTGTCGGGCACGGGCCACAGCGAGACGAGCACGCACTGGGCGCCGGCGGCCAGCAGGGCACGCGTCAGCCCGACCACGCCGTCCGAGCTGGCGCGGCCGTGGTGGTCGCGCGTGTGGCACGAGCTCACCACCACCAGCTTGGCGGTCAGCTTGAGGCCGAGGATGTCGGCGGCCGTCAGCAGGAACTCGGAGAGCGGCGGCAGGTCACTGGACGAGGCCGCCTCCGAGTGGTCGTCCTCGTGCTGTGACTCGCACTGCGAGCCGTGCGAGGCGGCGCGCTGCGAAGAGCGGGCGTCCACGAACTCGCCCGGCGACAGCACCACGGCCGACAGCTTCCAGGAGACGTGCGTCGCCAGGTGGACGCACTCGGCCTGCGCCAGCTGCTGCAGCAGCGCCTCCTTGGAGGCGGCGGCGCCCGTCAGCGGCTCCGTCTGCAGCATCTCGGCCACCATATGGGCCTCCTGCTCGGCGTACGGCAGGTCAGCCCAGCCCCACTGCTCGCCGAGCGCGGCTGGCAGGCGCGGGTTGCCCACCACCAGCGCCGCCGTCTGTTCGCCGCCGGCGCGGGCGCCGCGCGGCCGCGCGCCCGAGCGCAGCGTGCTGATGGACGGCGTCAGGATCAAGTTGAAGCGCTCGCAGAGGAACTCGCTGCTGTCGGGCGCCTTCAGCACCGGGAACGGCACCAGGTAGAGGTCGCCCTCGAGCACGAGCATCAGGTCGCGCGGGTAGGCGTTGCTCGGCAGATGCTCTTCCATGGGCGCGATCAGCAGTTCGTACAGCGAGCGCAGACACTGCGGCCCCTGCCAGACGGCGCGGCGCGAGCGCACCGAGCCGCCGCGGCTCTGGCAGCCACCGCTCACGCTGCCGCTGCCGCGGCTGCACGAGAAGGCACTGAACATGCTGGACAGGCTGTAGTTGGACGAGTTGCAGGCGTGGCCGCGGTTGACCATGCGCAGGAAGCCGGTCTTGTCGCCCTCCTGGTTGAGCCGGTCGCCGAGCTGTTCCAGGTGCTGCTGCCACATGTCGCCGGCGTCGGCGTCCGTGTCGCGCTCGCCGCCGGCCGTCTGCAGCTCGACGCCCAGCGCGTCGCGCACCGACTCAATGTGCGATTCGAGCAGGCTGGCGTCGGCCGGGTGGGCGGCCGCGTGCGCCGGCCGGTCGGTGGCGCCCACCGTCACCTCGTGGAACTTGACGATACCGCGGCCGGGCACGATCAGCCAGCTGAAGAGGGCGCCGGCCGCCAGGCTGTAGTAAAGCACGGTGGCCTTCTGCTTGGCCACCGCCTCCACGATCTGCTCCACCGAGGTGGGCGTGTTGTCGTCGACGCGCGTGAAGCGGCTGCTGCTGAAGCCGCTGTTGGAGCGCTCCAGGAGCAGGTCGGCGAAGGCGCGCGTCCGGCTGCGCTCGGCCACCACCAGCGCTTCGTCCTGGCAGCCTAGCGACACCAGCACGCGCTGAAAATGTGAGAAGAACGCGTGACCGAGTGTGAGAAGCTATTCCCCGTCCGTTTTCCTGGCATTGTCCGGAGTCTGGAGCTTGGCAATGTATCGAGACATGATTGGGATCTCGTGTACTCGTATACCTACTGTTGCTAAACATAATTTGGATAGATGATAGAAAGAGAAGGGTGCCAGGCATGAAGCAGCAAATTTTGGAGGGCCCAAGCCGTTTGCATGATACCACAAATACAATAATGTCACCATGACGTTTGACGGATGCTCGGATATCATCGTCAAATGATTGCTCCCATTCCCATCGACAGGGCATTGCGGTTGAATCCCTTCTATCGCTCGTTGGGCGCGCTGCCACCGTTTCCGTGCCACATCCTGCAGCCAGCCCTCGCAGTCCATATCCGAGCGGCCGTTCACGCCTCCTCTGGAGCCGGCGCTCGCGGTCCGACTCCGGTCCGGCGCCGGTCCGACTTCGGTCCGGCTCCGGTCCGACTCCGGTCCGACTCCGGTCCGACTCCGGTCCGGCTCCGGTCCGGCTCCGGCCCGGCTCCGGTCCGACTCCGGTCCGGCTCCCGTCCGACTCCGGTCCGGCTCCGGTCCGACTCCGGTCCGGCTCCGGTCCGACTCCGGTCCGACTCCGGTCCGGCGGCCGTCCGCGCCTCACCTGAAGCGCCTGGAACGCGGCCGTCTGCAGGTCGTAGAGGCCGAGCCGGTGCTGGCTGGTGCCGCGCGCCTCGCGCCTCACGCCCTCCAGCAGGAAGGCGGCCCGCTCCAGCTGGGTTTGCGCGCCGGCCAGGTCGCCGTGTCCCCAGAGCGCCAGGCCGAGCCGGTGGCGCAGGCGCGCCTCCTCCTCGCGCCGGCTCAGCTGCTCGGCGATCTGCAGGCCCTGGCGCAAGTAGGCGATCGCCTGCGGCCTGTTACCCAGCGCGTGGTGCACGCGGCCCAGGCTGGCGTAGGCGGCCGTCTTGGTTGCCTTGTCGTTGGTCTGCGCTGCCACGCTCAGCTGCTGCTCCAGGTGCACCACGGCCTGCTCCAGGTCACCGAGTGACTCGTGCGCAGCGCCCAGGTGACCGTGCGCGCGCGCCTGACCGGCGGCCAGGCCGGAGCGCGCCGAGATGGCCGCGTCCAGCTGGTGGAACTCGAGCGCCGCCTGGAAGTCGCCCATCTGCTGGTGCACGCAGCCGAGGCCGCTGGCCGCCTCCGCCTCCAGGACCGTGTCCTCCAGCTCCCTGCCGACCGGAAGCCACCCCTGTTAAGCTCCAGATACCCACGGTTTGACGTCATTGGAACGGTCCGCGCCGCCACCCGGACGCCGAAATTGGATGACGGAGATGGTATGCGCTTAGCGTTTCAGTTCACGTTATTTGCTTCTCTTTTCCAAGAAGATCAGCACTGGGCATGCCCGCCTTTGCTCAGGTGATCAGCGATCGATCACGATTACCCGTCTAACAACGCCAACCGTATCACGCAGCGGTCTCATGCAAAAGGTCAAGCCAAGCACGCAAGCGGGCCTCACAAAGCGTGCGCCGGCGAGACGGCGTGGGCGGGCGGCTCGGCTTACCTGGCGATGTTCAGCTGGTGGTCGAGGCAGGAGAGCGCCTGCTCGAAGTTGCCCAGCCGGCCGTGGATGACCCCCAGCTCGCCGTAGGCGGAGGCCTTCGCGTGCGGGCTGTTGAGCTCGTGCGACACCACCAGCCGCTTCTCGTAGCAGACGAGCGCCTGCTGCAGGTGACCCAGGCTGCGGTGGCTGGCGCCGAGGCCGCGGTACGCGCGCTCCTGCTCCCTGCTGGCCCGCAGCTGCAGCGCCAGGCTCAGCAGCTGCTCGTGACACTTGATGGCCTCCTCGTGGTCGCCGATGGCGTCGTAGCAGTCGCCGAGGTTGCCGAACGAGCGGGCCTTGTCCATGAGCGCCGCGCCGCTGGGGATCTGCTCCAGCGTGGCCAGCTGCTGCTCGAAGTAGCCGATGGCGTCCTCGAAGTGCGACATGTTGAGGCGCGCGATGCCCAGGTTGCCGAACGCCTGCGCCTCCATCACGGCGTCGCACAGGTCCTTGGCTCTGTGGAAGGCGAGCAGCGGGGGGAACCGTCACGCATGTTTTGAGTGACACCGCCAGCGTCCTCGGAAGGAACTGGGCGGATGGACGCACCACTGCCGATACCAGAGTCGGCACATATCGGCGCCCATTTCAGACAAAACACCTCTGATTTTAGGCTTTCCAGGCGGAGCCAAAATCCGATGCAAACACAAGGCGTACCAAGGCCCTGCCTCTGCCTTTGACGGCGTCAAGATTGGCTTCAAACATCACAAAGCCGATATAACCTCATCACGAACCAGACCAGAGTCAAGATCAGATATATCACGAGGCAGGCCAGAGTCAAAGTCAGATTAATCACGAGGCAGACCAGAGTCGATATCGAACTCAACACGGGACGAAGCCAAAGTCATGCTCATTTTGTGACAGATCCAAGGCTATACTCGTCACAGGACAGAAACATGGTCTGGCTTGGCTCGGGCTACAGCTAAAATTGTACGTAACACATGCTGGACTTCAGATGACCGCCGCGCCGCCGCCCTCACCGGTCCAGCTGTTCCACGTAGCACTTGATGGCGTTGGTGTAGTTGCCGAGCGCCATGTGGACGGCACCCAGGTGGCCGTGCGCCTTGCACTCGCCACGCAGGTCAGCCACCTCCTGTCGAATGGTCAGCTCCTGCGAACGAGTCAGGCCAGGTCAGGTCAGGTCAGGTCAGGTCAGGTCAGGTCAGTACGGGTCGGGTCGATAGCGGGCCGGCGGCATGGTGGCTCAACTGGGCGCGGGATGATTTCGCCAGGGCTGGAAGACGTTGGAGGGGGGGGGGGGGGGGGGGGCCGCGGCAGGAGCTGCACATTGAACGTCACGACTCTCGCTGTAAGGCGGACTGATACTTGTTTTAAGGCGGGCTGATACTCGTTTGCAAGTCGAAAGATGGCCACAAGGATTACCTGCGGATATTACAAGGATTACCTGCGATTATTACAAGGATTGCGGCTCATCAACTACATAGCCTCTTGCGCCGTCTTGGATATTCGGGACGCATCGGCAGCGGCGCATGAACTTGCAGATACGTTCATTGAACGCAACATGTAATCGTGCAGCGTGATCATCGTATGCAATTGGTGGTCTCCTAGGACGTTTCCCTGTGCGAAAAACTGCACAGACGTTACCACTTATGAGATTACACTACCGCAGCTAAATATCGCATAAATTATCTCTGCGGCGTTCATCAAATGTGATGAAACTCATTACTAATTGCAGAGAATGTCTTATGCGTATCCGACATCCGGCGTCGGGACAAGGCTGAGCAGTTCCGACGGTCCATTTACGACAGAGCAAGGCCGGTGAAATTCCTTGCCGCCGGCCGCAGACTAACGACTTCCCTCAATAGCAATAGTTCGCAGAAGGGATAAAATCTCGCCAATTTCCACGATGATCCCGGCGGAAGCTCCTATTTGCAATCGCTAAATGGCGGTTCTATCATCCACCTTACGCTCTCCCGTGCTTCATACGGCCCGTTCCCGTCCATTATCTGCAATTACTGTAGCCCAACGACCACCGGTCGGCTCCTCCCCGACCACTGGATACTTTCGCGAGAATCATCGATGCCTAATTCACGCGCAGCCTCCTGGATTGGTTTTACGAGCGTGGCTCGCCATTCAAACCGCGCCGGCGGCCAATTACGCTGCGTCTGCAATGACGATTTAATGACGGCGTCGCCCCGGTCGTTTGGCCCTATAACAGGTCCGGACTGAGGTGGTCGGAGCTACCGAATTTATCGGGCTGCGGTCTATAATTTCCGGCCCGGCGGCGCCGGCGGCCCGTCGGTTTGCTCCGCCGGCGAAACGCTTTGCGCGGCTTGCGAATACCTGCCCGGTACGCCGCCGCCGCAGAGCTGGGGCGCTCGCGACCAGCCACCGCGTACACCGAACACGGCCGGCGTCCTGAACGCTACAGATGCCGTGCGCCGTCCCACCCGAACACCGGAGCCGGCCGTACAGGTGAACGTTGTCTACAGCGACACACGCATGCGGCCGGGAGGGGCCGCTGACCAGCGCAGCGGTACAGGTGACCGCTGTCCACAGCGACACACGCGGGTGGTACGTAGGGGCCGCTGACCTGCGCAGCGGTACAGGTGACCGCTGTCCACAGCGACACACGCGCGCGGTCAGGAGGGGCCGCTGACCTGCGTGTGGAAGCCGAGTGCCTTGTCGAGCTGACGCAGCTGGCGGTGCGCCAAGCCGAGCGCGCTGAAGGCGCAGCACTGCAGCTGCTTGTCGCGGCTGTGTCGGGCGGCCGCCAGCTGCTTGTGGTAGCAGTGCACCGCTTCCTCGTGACCGCCAGTCTTCATCAGCACGTCGCCCATGTTGCCGAGCGCGCGGCACGTGCCCTGCGCGTGCTTCAGCAGGTGCGCGATGGCTGGACAGAGGGGGGGGGGGAGCAGTCAGACGGCCGGACGAGCCACTATGACGATCATCACGCGTCGGACACGTCACACCGCGCCCGGCTCGACAGCAGGAATACAATGTGGAGCAGTGGGTATGAACCGGATGCATGAAAAACTGGTCTGTGATATCACAGCCTCTCAGACGGCGACAACGTTTTTTTTTACAAAGAACCATTGACACACATCTCCTTGTCTAACAAGACAAGCGGCAGAAATGAAAGCCCAGCAGTTTCATCTTACCGTGGAAGAACTTCTGGCACTCGAGCGCCTTCTCGCAGTTGCCGAGCGCCAGATGCGCCAGGCCGAGGTTGCAGTAGGCCCGCCCCATGCTCATCTTGTCCTGCAGGTCCTTGGCCAGCGCCAGGTCCTGGTCGTAGTAGTGCACCGCCTCGCTGTAGTTGGCCAGGCAGTAGTGCGCGTAGCCGAGGAAGTGGCATGCCTTGGCTTCGCCCTCCACGTCCTGCAGGTCGTGCGACAGCTGGCGGTACTGTTCGTAGTAGGGCACGGCCAGAGCGAACTGACCGCGCGAGCTGTGGCAGTTGCCCAGGTTGCAGAGCGCGCACGCCTCGCCGGCCGTGTCCTTGAGCTCGCGCGCGATGTTGAGGTGGCCCAAGTAGTGCAGCAGCGCCATCTCGTGCATGCCGAGCGCCTGGTACGCCACGGCCAGGTTGCCATGCGTCGACGCCTCGCTGCTGCGGTCGTTCACCTCCTTGCTGATGGTCAACTCCTGCTTGTGGTACTTGATGGCCTGCTCGTAGTAGCCCATGGAGCTGTAGGCGTTGCCGATGTTGCCGAAGGCGCGGCCCATGCCGGCGCGGTCCTGCAGCAGGCGCGCGATGTTGAGATGCGCCTGGTGCAGCTTCAGCGCCGCGTCGTGATCGCCGAGCAGCTGGTACACGATGCCCAGGTTGGAGCAGGCGCGCCCCTCGGCCGTGCGGTCCTTGGTGCTGAGCGCCATGTCCAGCTGCTTCTCGTGCCACTTCTTGGCCTGCGCGTAGTCGCCGAGGCAGCGCGCCGCGTGCCCGAGGCCGGCATAGGCGCGCGCCTCGATGGTGCGGTCCCCCAGCTGCTGGGCGATGCGCAGCACCTGCTGGTGGAACGTGATGGCGCGCTCGAAGCTGCGCCGGTAGTGGTGTGAGCTGCCCAGGTTGCTGAAGGCACGCGCCTCCTCCACCCGGTTGCCGAGCTGCTTGGAGATGCGTAGGTGCTCCTTGTGGCAGTCGACGGCGTTGTCGAAGTCGCCCATGGCCAGGTAGACGGCGCCCACGTTGCCGATCTCGCGCGCCTCCTGCAGCTGGTCGGCCAGCTGGCGCACCAGCTGTACGCACTGCTTGTGCGACGCCAGCGCGTTCGGGTAGTCGCCGATCGCCGTGTACACGTGTCCTGAGGAGGGCGGCGGGTCATCCCACGGCGGCTTCCATTCCACCGTATAGGTGGTGGGTACAGTCCGCCGCCTGGGTCATGCGATACCGATACCAGCCCTAACACACCATTCGCGCAATGAACCAGCCGACTCAAAGGCAGCAAAGCGTTATCCATGTCCATCATGGAAAAGCAATGACAGCAAAGTAATGACATCGGCCTGGTCCCACTGGAGCCTCACCGACGACCGCCCAACCTCAGCGGCTCCCTGGCCCGTGCGCTGACCGTCCCGGTCCAATCCCGCGCCTCGCGGCCGCCGCGCTCTGGGCGCTTACCCAGACTGGTGAGCGCCGCCGCCGCCGCCTGCGTGTCCTTGCACTTCATGGCCAGCACCAGCTGGTACCGGTGCGACGTGAGCGCCTCCTTGAAGTTGCCCTTGCTGAAGTAGGCCGAGCCGAGGTTACCGTGGGCGCGGCACTCACCGGCGATGTCCTCCAGCGACTTGGCCACGTTCAAGTCCTGCTGCATGTAGCTGATGGCCTGCGGTGAAGAGCTGGGTCACACACTGCTTTCGTGGAGGAAGCTTTAGCACGCCCACGTCGGCCACATTGGCACAGTTTTAAGCTTGGTGTCTCGCTCTGTGGGCAACGACAGCGGGAGCGACAGAGCCGTAGGGGAGCCAGCACCCAGCGGGCCGTGACGGCGGGAGCGACAGAGCCGCAGGGGAGCCAGCACCCAGCGGGCCGTGACGGCGGGAGCAACAGAGCCGCAGGGGGAGCCAGCACCTAGTGGGCCGTGACGGGAGAGGTACCACGACCCGCCGGCGAGCCGCTGACCTTGTCGAGCGAGTTCATTGCCCAGTAGGCGGACGACAGGGCCGAGAAGACGCTGCCGCGCAGCTTCAGACTGCACGTGCCGATCTTGAGCGCCGACTCGAGCACGGCCACGGCCGCGCCGCAGTTGCCGGCGGCCAGCAGCTCCTGGCCGATGACGGAGATGATGACGAACGGCGACTTGTCCAGCCGCATCGCCTGCAGCTGCCGGTACGTCGGCTCCAGAGTGGCTGCCGGGCGGGAGGGTCAGGTCAGGCCGGGTCAGGGCGCCACCCTCAGCACGGCTCGGTCAAGATCCGTGGCAGTGACGTAGCACGCACACCATGTCGAGCATCCTCACGCAACGGCTCCATTTGCTTACAATGCGTCATTTGCAGCAGACAGGTCTGGCGTCCGCGGCACAATGGCAACGTCGTGCGCGGTGCTGACATTCCACGCTCCCCTCCAGCGTGGACGTACAACTTCCGCCAGTTCTTCACGCCCGAGGGACCGCGGTCCCGCTCCGGCGTACAGCTACCACTCGGCACTGGTTGGCCAGCCGTGGCGCCCCAGCTCGCTTCAGTCCAGCGCCGTCAGCCGGTCGGAGAGCCGGACACAGCCTACCTCTGAGTGGCGACTTCATGGCGGCTTCGACCAGGCCGGCCAGCAGCTGCAGCGACTTGGCGTCCTGGGCCAGGCCCTGGCTGAAGGCGGCCAGCGCCTCGCCATGGCGACCCATGCACTGAAGCGCCACCCCCTGTCGATAGTAGGCCTGCGGAAGGAGAGGGCGCTGTCAGGCCGGGCCGCGGGCCAGACGGGACGGGCAGGGAGGCCCCGGGCCGGGCCTTCACTGCAGACCGCGGAGCCTCCGGGCAGTCACTTCAGACCAGGGGACTGCGGGGAGCAGATGGTAGGGCCGGGCCAGCAGGCCAGACAGGACGGGCAGAGAATGCTCGGACCGGGTTATCGCTTCAGACCAGGGAGCCTCCGGGCCGTCGCTTCAAACCAGGGGACTGCGGGGAGCAGATGGTAGGGCCGGGCCGCAGGCCAGACGGGACGGGCAGGGAGGCCTCGGACTGGGCCGTCACTTCAGACCAAGGGACTGTGGGGAGGAGATGCCTGGAACGAACCGGGGGGCCAGGGAAGTGGGCAGCACGCCGGGAACGAACCAGGGGCACCCAGTCTTCTAGGTCAGTACCCTGTGAGGGGAGCGATGAATCACTCCACTTGGAACACTGTACAAAGGGAAACTTGCTCACGTTAAAGACCGAGGCAAGGCTTTATGCTCGAACGTTAGACTCGACGGCTTCGTGACGCATTAGTTTTAGCCCGGGGTGACCGGGTGCTGCATTCCAGCGGGTTGCAGCCTCGTCTGAGCAGTCCTGGAGCGATGGGTTGGAGTAGTTGCGGTTGAGGCTCATGCCTTTTAATGAGGAAATAACTAAAACCAAGCATGCACGAGCATATACGGACTGGTGTCAATGGTTTCGTGGCGCAGGTAGGAGGCACGGGGGACACATGCCCTTCCCCTTAGTTTCCAAGGGGCCCAAAGGGCCCCTCGTGACCTAAGATTAAAGGCCCGATAGGCCGACCGCAGGTCGTATTCAAGGATCCCGGCCCACAGAGCCGGGCACTCAAATGCCAGCCAGAGGGCCCTGCGCGCTGACCAAGCCTCCCCTACGTCGATAAGGGTATGTACGTTGGTCAAATTCCACTAGTAACGCACAGTGGACTCGGTATCGGCATCGGCCTGACGGGCTATTTCCCAAGCAGAGACAAAGCCGGAGGCAGCGGACCCTGTGTTGACAAGGTTCTTCGAATCAGCCAGGGGAAGTGTTCGAGGAGGCCCCAAGAGTCGGAGGGGGGGGGGGGGGCACGGGGACAGAAAATCAAGGGCCCGATTAGAGGCCCTAAGGGCACGAAGAGCTGGTCGGAGTCCACTTCAGGGGCCCAGGTCAGCCGAGACGGGACCCCAGGGGATTCAGGGGACACAATAAGGGGCTGCTGTGTCGACCAGGGGCCACAGTGCCTAACAGGGGTCTTATGGTGGCAAGTGGCTCCGAGTCGGCAAGGAGCCGTGCTGAAAGGGGCTCGAAGAGGGGCCGAGGGGTCTCTCGAGACCAAAGATCAAGGGCCCGATGCGGGACCTACTGCCGGGATTAGAAGGCTTCCCGCGTCAGGGAGGAAAACAATGTGATATAATCTATCCCTCTAAAGGCATCGGGATCGACCACAGGATCTTACCCCGTGTCGCCAGAATGACAGCCGGAAGGTAACCCGCGGTGGGACGGAATGACCCTTCAGCGCTCAGCCAAGAACAACAATGTGTCCCTGGTGTTCTGCTCAAGGGGCCTCTTTCCCAGAAAAAAGCGAGGAACCTCGTGAGTGTTGAAAAGAGTGGGTCGAAATGAGTGCAAAAACGAACAAGGCCATGCTATATTTGCCTGAGAACGTTCAGTATTTTGCAGAATCAATCAGCGAAACAAATTACGTCAAAAGACTTGAGCTCGCGCGTTCGCAATCTCGGGAGGAAGGACAGCGGTGGCCGGGGTTGCAGTTTTCGTATAACCGAATTATGCTAGCCACGGTTTTTGCCACTTGTCGATTCTGGCTGAGTATTGAAAATTTCTAGGCAAACAGGCTCGGTCATTTTAACACAAACTGTTGACCCATTTGGATCCACTAACTACATTCGCGGAGTCGTAATATCTCTGTAAAACTCATATAAAATTCTGACCAAGCTTCTGAGTTATGTCTGTTTTCATTTGAGTTCTAATGAGGTCTGGCTAAATGAAGAGCGCCGAAAATGGATTTCATGCAGTCGCTTAACGCATGCTTTCTTCCGGTTACTGACGACGAAAAATCAGGCGGAATTGATCTTGCGGCAGCTTTTGATTTCTGTTCCAGGTATAGAAATTAAAAATAAAAAATAGCAAGGGAAAACATGCCCTCATTCACAAATGGGCCATACCCAAGCAATTTGGGGCAATCTTCAAGCAATCAAGCAATCTTTTCACTGGCAGGGGACACTTTGCCAACCTTGTGCCTCCCTGCCTGCCAAGACTCTGAAGCCGCGCCCCTGCAATGGTTTGAAAATAGTGGATTTCCGGGATAGAGGCACTGCTATTCGAGCGGCGAATGTCTGCGAGAATTTTACCTGAGAGAGAGAACTTTAGAACATTATCTGACCAGTGACATATGCGCCCAACGAAGACCACGACATTAGCCGAACAGGGACATATGCGAGCAACGAAGCTAATTACAGCAGACCTTATTACGTGCAGGGCCGCGAAGGGAGTTTACTTGTGAGACTACAAGGAGCCGTATGGGAACCTGACGTAAATCGGTGGTCAGACAGCACGATGAAGCGTGACCGGCCGGTCGGCGGCATTTCGGCCAGAGCGCGGAAATGCGCCACTCTGCCAGCCCAGGAGAATGCGGATGGGCTTGAGTTCAATGGGCGTCCACGAGGTCACGGAAAGGAACGGGGAAAGATGCGGTGCGACGCTGAGCCGTGATTCCTGCACACGCCACGCAGCTGCACGAGTCGGAAGCGCTGTCCGTTACGTCACCTTAGACGCCAGTGAACAACAGGAAAACCGGGCCCGGGCTCGCGTGTTGGCCACCGCGGCACGGACGGGCCCCGTTCGGAGGGGGCGGCGGGGCCCTCGCGCCGGCCAGCCCGGAAAGGCGGCGGCGCTCCCGATCAGCCGATACGACGACGGCATACATCGCCGTCGACAGACGGCCTCACAGCACCGCCCGTCCCGCCCGGTGACAGGGCGTGACTCGGCCGGCGGCAGGCCCGGCCGGCCGGCCAGCGCGGCGCCGGCTCGGACGCCGACCGCCCGACGGCCTCGTGTGATGGCCTTCGATAGCGGCCGCCAGATGGCCACCGGATGGTGCTCGATAACGCCGACATTAATTTTCATTTTCAGTTATCTGCGGCCCAGAATTTCATCTGCGTTCGAGCGGCGGTTATATTAGATGCGGCGATAAGGCGCGACGGTTGGCGCTAAGCGGTGACACCCGGCGAGGCGCGCGTCACGCGCCGTGACGGGCCGAGCTGGAGCGGGCGGGCGGACCGGCCGGCGCGGGGCGGCACCGCGCGCCGCGGTCGGCCGACACGTCCAGGCGCGCGGCCCGACGCCCCGGCCCACGTGACGCCCCGGCACGCGACACCGGGCGCTCGCTCAGCCGCCGTTAAGGAAAACAGACCTGGGGGTAGCCTGTGGGCCCTTCAGACGCGGTGCAGCGCCAGACCGGCTGCCGCGGGAGCAGACGGCGCTCGAGCTGCGCGCTCGGCAAACCGACACTGCACGCTCCCGCGGCCGCCACCCACGCGCACTTTCTCTCGGAGTACCACCGGCGGAGACCACAAAAACGGCGCCCGTCTGTCCGCACTCCGGAAACTCTCCTACGGCTCACATTCGGCGGTGAGACGGTGAGCGGACCTCCGCAGCGGCAGTCGGGACCCGTCACATGTCGCGGACCTTCCCGCGGTGTCCGCTACATCAGAGTCTCAAGACCAACCAGCAAATGCAATCTTCCCTCTCCATTTCGAGTGGCTTTCAAGTTGGCCAATCAAGGCGCGCTGCAGCAAGACCCACGGCGTGGCAGCCTCTCGCCTCGCTGAGGAGGGCGCTGGCACACGCGCACCGCTGGGAATCGAATACGCAGCGTTCCATTTCAATGCCACCGTCCGAATACTCGGACGGCTGAGGCGGCCTCAGCGCGGCCGGACGAAGATTGGACCTCGTCGGCGGCCGGCCGCCTGGAAGATTGGACCGACGTGCCAATAAAACGCAATTAACGACATTAGCCCGGCCAGCCGCGAGGAAGCCCTGATGTCTATCAACATTCCAGATGGCAAAACAGGCCGTCAGCCGGCTGAAATGGTCTCGTCAGCCCGGCGGGATGGCACGTCAGCCTGCTCAGATGGTCCTCAGTCCGGGCAGATGGTCCCGTCAGCCTGCTCAGATGGTCCTCAGTCCGGGCAGATGGTCCCGTCAGCCTGCTCAGATGGTCCTCAGTCCGGGCAGATGTCTGTCAGCCTGCTCATGCCTCAGTCGGGCAGATGGCTCGTCAGCCTGCTCAGAGGTCCCAGTCCGGGCAGATGGTTCGCAGTCGTCAGATGTCCACCTGCTCAGATGGTCCTCAGTCCGGGCAGATGGTCCCGTCAGCCTGCTCAGAGTTCATCGGGCAGATGGCCGTCAGGTCAATGGTCCTCAGCGGGCAGTGGTCCTCAGTCGGCAGATGGCCCGTCAGGTCAGGTGGTCCTCAGTCCGGTCAGGTCCGTCAGTCCGGTCACATGGTCCCGTCGGTCTGGCCAGAGCGTCCCGCCAGTCCGGCCAGATGGTCCGGCCAGTCCGTACAGATGGTCCCGTCGGTTCGGTCAGATGGTCCCGTCAGTCTGCTCAGATGGTCCCATCCGTCTGGTCAGGATGATCCCGTCGGTCTGGTCAGATGATCCCGCCAGTCTGGTCAGATGGTACCGTCAGTTTAGACGGAGGTTTCCGGTAGTCTAGTCGGAGGATCCCGCCAGTCTAGTCAGTTCGCCCCGTCGGTCCGGTCAGATGGTTCCGCCAGTCTGGTCAGATGATCCCGCCACTTTGGTCAGATGGTCCCGTCGGTCTGGTCAGATAGGCCCGCTGGGAGCATGCCGGCACCCATTAAGCCAAGCGTCTCGGCTAATTCCCGGGAGTAAAAAGCCTTCATTCGAAAACAATGCCGATAAGAAGCCCAGCGCCGTCTCTTTGTGGCTCCTGGCGG